TTAATCCAAATATTCTATAAGACACAGATAAATTATCAACGGTTTGATACCAGATGGAAAAAAAAATACACATGAAAAAAAGAAATTTATTATTATGACAAATATTTACAAAACACTAAAAAATGTCCTTCTTCCTCTTCATCCTGTCGTTGACCTCATTGTTCACGGAACTTTGTTTTTTCTTCACCCGGGCAATTTCTCCAGCCAGTTCGTTCAGAGAAGCTTTCAACCGGTCGACCGTCTTCGGATCTCCTTTATTTCGAGAGATTCCCTAGGAAAGTTCCATAATTTTTTTTTATGATGCCAAAGGATTATTTTATGTTTGTGTACTGAGTTTGTGGCCCATTTGATAGAAAGCTCTCTGTGAAGTCGAGTTTTCGAAGCGTTTACCTTTTCTCTTCCCTGATATTTTTAAAAAATTAAAAAATTCTGGAAACCCCTAAATAGTTGCAAATTCTCGGCCAAGGTCCGAATTTCATCAATTCATCAAACTTGCCATGACTTGAAACTATTTCGCCCGTCTGACAAATTATGGAAAAAATGAAAAAGAGAGAAAAGAGAGGACAGAATGGTCAGACAGTTTCAAATCAGAGAGGAAGATAAATTAATGAGCTTTTTATGAAAGGAGCTCCTAAAAAGGTTATTAAACCAGAAGAAAAATCAAATACAAAAAAGGAAAGGTTTATATGACTTCAAATGAGCCTGCGATCATTTTGATAAATTAACGACGAAAAATTTTGTTTGATTATTATTGTTTGAACTTCCTTCTTTCTACAAAATACCAAACCATGAATTTTTTTTTTGAAATATGTTCCATATCCTACCTCTTTCAACTTCTTTTCCTTCGCCAAAAGCTGCTTCAGCTCAATTTCCAAGTCAAGGCCTTGAATGCCAAGGGCCCTAGAAACACAACATGACTCAATTTTTCAATATTATTTCAACTTCGAACTGTGTTTCTCCATCTCCTTCTTCTCCTCTTTTAACCGAAGATGCTCCGGTTTTTCAGCTGCTTTTGTCTGAAAACGGTTTTCTCTGCTTTTTTCAGAAGACCGTGGTCGCAATAGGAATGACTTCACGCGCGGCTGCTCTAATAAATCTGCGCCAGACCAGAAACGACTTGCGCTTTATGGTATAGCACAGCATTTGATCAAGCTGATAAGGTCCATTTTTGACTTAACTTCAATAGAGACGCTAAAAGCCATTCTACATGCGGCCATGGCAATTTATTCAAACCTCCAACTTCCGATTGATAAAAACGAAGATATCTCTTTCCACATTATTTGCATTCCGGAGTTTCTGAGCCATTCGTCTTTTCTTCTTCTTGGAAATAATTTCCTTCCCATCGACAACTTTTCTCTTTCTAACCATACATTCATCAACAGAGGCATCTGGAATGAATGAATATAAAGTTCGGAATTTTGAGAAAAATAACTTTTTGGACAAATCTTGGCCTGGATCGAGTGTACGATGCCGTCGCTATTTTTGCCTAGCCCCTGGAAAAAAGATTTTTTGGGGAACAACGCTAAAGAGTTCCCTTTAGAGGTTAGAGGAAAAAGAGCTTGGATCGCCCTTTGTGGGCGGAAGTAAAGTGTTCCCTAGAGGGGAGCCTTAAGGGTCTCTCACCGTGCCCCTATAGAAACCTCTCTGGCGTTAATAGATTTTAGAAATCATACATCACGAAAATCGATTATACTTCACTTCACAGACTTTATAGTCCGTCCAAGGCGACTTGACAGTTCTAGAGCGTCTGCGCCTCCCTCGCCGAAGAGGTCAGAGAAACACTAAAATAGCAAGTCGAAAAGAGAGCGTCGCCGAGAGACGAAGTGGGCGCAGAGATGCTTTCAAGTCGCGAAAAACGGACTTTACAGCGGGATTTTATATACAAACTAGAAATTACAGTGCTATATTGTTTAGCCTGGCAAAAAATCCGCTCCAACCTCGCCTATCTTGTAACCCATTCTTCTGCATGAGTTTCAGTCCGAATCCTCCGCCGCTCCAATTTCCGAGTTCCGAGACGCTAACGTTCCCTAATCGGTCACTTTTCAGTTCACTCCAAGCTTCCTTTTTCGTCATTTCTCGGGTGCTTGGGAGCGATGTCGGCAGAGGTGTGGATTCTGAAGAGATGTTCTGAATTTAAATAACAAAAAATACACTGAAAAGCAGAAAAAGTTGCGAAGGACTTCTGATGAGAAGATTTTAAGAATTGAGCTCATTTTCCCCGCCCCTTCTTTTATTAAGTTTTCCAGATTCAACGTCTTTGAAGGCCATTCGATAGCTCAAGAAAGAGCTTGATGTAAATTTTTTCAACCTGAAATTCGCTTTTCTGAACAAAAAGCAGAAAAAAAATGAACCCCTAATTGAAAAAAAAATTATTGAATTTCCGTAAGAAATTCTCCTCACGACTTTTTGGCTTCATCTGGAAACGATACCTACCACTTTCTGGCATCTGTTCTTCTGCTGACAGAGGGACGATTCCTTCCCGGGGACTACTGACTTCCTGGCCGCTTTTCAACAACTTCACCGCCACTTCCTTCTCATCCAGGGCTGTCATTCTCCCGAGCTCCCAAACATCATTTGCTTGGGACACCAAGACGAGGCTGTCTTGGCCTATCGTCCTGAACCAATTAAGTTCAAATAAGCTCAGACATTTTTTTTTTTGAAAGATCAAAACTTTTCAAAATCGAGCCAACGTTAGGCCAAGTTGCGCTAAGGGACCTAAGGCCAAGTACCGGCGGCTTTAAGAAACTTTAAAATGTTGAAGTTGGAGCTCTAGTTCAATTAGGAATAAATTACTGACGAGAAATCGGGATCCAAGTACTCGCTGATCTCGGCGAGCGACAGCAGCTCGCCATGGCTGAACCTGCAGCTGTCGCCGAATCTACAGGTTCCGGCCATGAAATGGACACAAGGCCTCATCGCCGGCACCATTGCGTGACTGTACAGAACGCGCACCTAGAAACAAAAAATACATAATCATTCTGTTATTCTGGCCAGCACTCAGGAATTTCCCAAAGTAGAATTATCTTCTTTTCCGAAAGAATTACTAACTTTGCTGGTCTTTTCATCGGCGCCTGGTTCAACCTCCAAAATGATGGCGGCGTGTTTTGAAACTCCCAAATTTGCTCGAGGAAAAGGCGCCAAACATCTGGTTCCGATCACATCGTCTGAACGTCTTTCATATATCACATAGTCCTCGAAGAGAGCAAAAAAAACTTTATGGAAATTCATAAAAAAAAATTATTTTTTACAAAAAAAAAATCATTTCGCTCTCTCGGAGATTCATATTTTCAAAAATAAAAAGATCGCGCAAATAGTCGAGGCTCTTCTAGACTTTTAGAGAGTACTGAGAAAATTTATTGACATCTCCAAACTTGTTCCATGTTCAGAGTAATTTCGGTGATTTCGAAAATTGACGCTCTTTCAGTTTAAAAGACTCAAAAGTTTTGGCATTTTATGATCGAAATTTCGAATCGCTGGAATTACTTTGAACGCGGCATTAGCACTGAGACAACAGCCTTTGTAAGATTTTCTGCATCAACACTTCAAAGTTTCCGGCTTTTATCGCAAAAAAAATCTCGGAAATTATACTTGCCCAAATCCAATAATTCCTCCTCATCGTCGTACTCTTCCTCGTCATTTTCATCAGATAAACTCCCAGCAGGATCATTTGAAGGGCCTCCCTAGAAACGTCGAAAGTAGTTAGAAAATCCCTTCAAATCCGCTACCTCTTCCTCCAAAAGGGCGACTAGCTCAAGAAGATCCGCTTTTATTTGAAAAAGTTCCTCCCTGGCCGTTTCATCGGTTTCGGTTTTCAGCTGTTCGTCAACAGCCGCGATCTGATAATTTTCGGTTTCAAACGGTTGCTTTTTTGTTTAATTGGGACTTGGGACATAGTAACTGCTCGGACCTAGGTTGCGAAAACCGGACGCGCTCCTAACGTTTCTGAGCATTTCTAGGCGTTTATTAAGAGAGATGACGCTACTAAATTGGTCATTAAAAATGCCCTGACACGTCCGATTCGCGTTACCAAGGCCCGAAGGATTAAAAATTCGAAAATTATTTCGCAAAGTTCAAAATAGCCGTCAGAGAGGGACAATAACCAGATATAATTTTGGATTTCGCGGAAATTCCCTTGAACGCGACATAAAATATCAATCTCGGATAAATAATTTACAATGAAAATTAGGAAAAGTGACAAAAAATAAACATACTCGCCTTTTTTCAGGATCAAAATGGATGAAATTGAAAACTAATTTTGAAAGGATCCTTTAAAGAAATTATCGGATTTGTTGTCGAAAAAGCTACATCTAAAGAAGTTAAAATGGCATGGCAAAAAAAAAAAGAAACGAAGAAATCGTTTAATGAGCAGATTTCCTTTGAATTGAAAATCTGAAAGAACCAATAAAACATTTTCACCTGAGCTTTATATTCCTCCAAATCGCTCATCGCATTTAAAGAAATCTCTAAAATTTTTCCTTGAAAAAACTTCAATTTCACATTTAATATGAAACTCGGTCATCCGCTCTTGAAAAAAACAAATGAAAACCCTTCATGAATTATTTATTCTATTACACAAATGTACACATATATAACATCTACGCAGATCTACATCGGAACAAAAAATCAGAATCACATGTAAGAATGTTCACCGAAACAAGGAACACAACCACATGTGAAGAAAAAAAGTAAAGCGAACGATTATTTTGGAGGAAAAAACCATTTCCGAAAGCTAAATAAAGCGCTAAACCTGGCTTGGAACGGTTCGAGATGCAATAGGAATGACTTTGGGTCAGAGGAAACAGAACAAAGAAAAAGAAATACAGGAAACAAGAACAGATCATCGAAAAACTATGTCGCTTGGAAGAAAAAGAAACAAGAAGGAAGGAAATATACGATTAGTCCCTGTGGGGTTGGCAAGCCTCAGACAGATCCAAGGTTCAAGATTCTCGTCCAGTAAACAATGAAACTACTTCTACAGAAAGTACATCGGAACGAGTTTTTCAGGGCAAAAGACCAGATTTGGTCAATTCCTCTCTGAGAGCGTTGAAAACGGTCAACTGGTCTTCAGGGCCGAGCCAAAGGATCTGCGTCACCAGCTTCGATGGGTTCGGCACACTGAAAAGTATTCAGTAAAATCCGAAAATGAATAAAAATCGTATTAGAAGAGCTTGAATGGGCGCGCCGTAGCGCAACAGGTTGTGTGCCTGTCTACGGTCCACAGGGTCACAAGTTCGATCCCCGCCCCGACCCAACCAAGGGGTTTAAGAAATGTTGGTAGTGGGAAACCACGACTTCAAAATCCCCAGCCGTCACACACAAGGACGGATATGTCACTGGAGCCAGTCCACTGATTATCATCAGGATAGGACCTCGGCTAATCGACTTGGGGCGCCGACGCCGCTCAAGCGGTACAAAGGCGTAAGAAGAAGAAGAAGATAAGAAGAGCTTGAATGTTTCAGTGAAAAAAAGTTTAAAAAAAAACCGATTTTGGGAACGTTTTTTTAGATTAAAAAAGTCCATCGTAATGAAAAGTGTGCTCAACATGTGGAGGTGGAAAAAATCGTCAAATATCTAGCTTTCTCTTATTTTTTGTGTTGTTTTGATTATTCCGGTAACACTTTGCAGATTTTAAACTATACAAACTTTATGACCTCAAAAATCTTGAAGGCTATTCATAAATGTGTTCCAACTTTGTGGTTTCAATAGAGCATTGAACTCAATCAACTGAGACCAATCACGCCTATTATTACTTCGAGAAGCTCTACAAAGCTGCGTTTCTTTTTTTGGACTGAAATACCACCATAGTGTTTCAAATAACAGTCACTACAACTCCAGAAAGTTCCGCAAAGATTAAACTTCATACAAGAAAGTTTTGGTCAAAAAAGGCGGTTTTTCGTATTTTTTCTGACAAAACTGTAAATAATCACCGAATGAAGGTGTGGATGAAGACGTTGACAAAAGTTCCCATCAGAAGTTGACAATCGAAACGATCCATCAGGCCGCCGTGTCCCGGGATCACGTCACCAAAGTCCTAAAACTCATTTTTATTTTAGAATTGTTCGTTGAATCTTGGCATAAAATTTCTAGTTCAATTTGAAAGTTTTAAAATGAAAAAGTGAAACAGTAAAAGTTCTTATTTTGTTGTGTTCAAGAGGAAATCAATCTTCTGAACTAAAACCTCTAAATTTCTTAAAAATATTTCATTTATTCAACTCTAAATTCCGCTTCAGCCGACTATTTGGAGCGGATCGAAATGTTAGAACGTTTAAAAAAGTTGTATTTGCTGGAAATCGATAACTAGACGTGGAAAATACCTTTTTTCCGGATAAAAAAGGAAATCGACAAAAAATCTGTTGCCAAATTTTTCGTTCGAATTTTGTAAGATACAAAAAAATTAGCATTAAAAAAATTGAAAAAAACACAAAGAATAACAACAGAAACGGTAAAATTGGATTCAGGGAGTTCAAAGAATTTCAACGATACTTTTCAAAATTGCGTCAGCATATATCAGAAAAAAATGTTTCATTCTAGTGTTAATACGAATTTCAAAAAATGTGAATATTTTTAGACGATGAAAAATTCCCGCATTTCGCTGATTTCAATTCATGTTTTGATTTATACTAACCGAATGAAAAATTATGATTTCAATTCAATTTATAAATTTTATATTCATTTAAAGTTACCTGAAACTTTCAAATCCTCCCCAAGAAATTCTCGAAAACCCAACACGAACCTTGATTTTGAAAGCCCTCTTGAAACCACTGGCGAAGAAACCGCCGAAAGGACCCAGAAGAGACGCGAAAAGGGCCATGACGATGGCGTGGAACACGAACGGAAACAGTTGTATGTGCGGGTCACGTCTTTCAATTCAAATGCTCATTTTGAATCATCGAATGGGGGTGAAACCTCAAAATCTTGAAGATCCAGTAGAAAGGCCGTGGGACGGCGTAGCTCTCGGGCTGGAAAGAGGGGGGAATCGAGCAATTCGTGTTGTCGATGTAGTAGTCTTCCACGGGGCAGACGAAGAACGGACGGTGGCCCAGGAACAAGGCCAGCTGAAAAAATGGTTGTTCTAAATTAATATCAGTGAAGGAATACGTTGGCGAATGATTTTTGAAGGTCGCCAACCGTCCCCTCGAATTATTTTGAATTTTAAAGTGTGACTACCTCTATGAGGTTGAAGTATGTGTATTTTGTTGCTGACGCCACCTTCCTCAGCATAGATATAATTTTTATCCGGTTTTTGGTTCAGTTTTTCAAGTCAATCCCTCCTTCTGGACAAATTAAGCTCTCTAGTTACCCATTCATGTATGAGGGCGATATGACGAGCTCCGCGCGAGGCTGACATGTTAAAAAAAAACAGCTTTTCTGTATTTTTGCTTTACGAAACTGCAAAAAAGGTGGTATGAAAAAAAGACCAGCGAAAATTCAAACGGCGCCTTTTTCGTTATTTTCATATGACTAGGGAGCTTTCCGACGGCCACCTTTCCGAATTTTTTTCTCGATAAACTCTTCGTTTCAAATCTTCCTATATAAAGTAGCCAGTTGGTTCATGATTAAAACACAAAGAAATAGGAAAAAAATAATGTTAATAGATGATTTATAAATCGAAAAACATAAGGAAAAAAAAGTCGGAAAAGTCATCGTTTGAATTTTCGCTGGTCTTTGTTTCAAACCACCGCAAAAAAGACAGCAAGGAAGGTTTTGAAGCGAAGGGGAAATCAAATTACATCTCATTTGGAATACGAAAAAACGGGAAAGACCTGTGACGAATGAGCAATAATTTTTTTGGCGAACGTTAGTTCTTAGCGTAACCAGGTCCCCGCAAAAAATTATCCTTTGATTTTTCTCGTATTTCTGAATCATTTTTGACCGTTATTGCGCTTCTGGTGTAAAATAACATTTAAAAAAAACGCATTTTTTGAAAAAAGCAGCCATTTTGTCCCTTTTAAGCAAAATCTTGAGAAATAAATGAAATTTTTAAAAAAAAAGAGGGATATTGAAGTTGGTTAGACGAACAAACGGAGCCAATTCTTCCAAATTTAAAACTTGAAACTCATATTTGGGTCCTTTGCCTTGTTTTTAGTGAAATTATTCGCTGAATTCACAAAATGTAGAGGAGTAGGGCTACTTATCTAATGAGACCTGTCTTTTTCGGAAACCTTGAACGATTTAATTTTAAAAAATCAACCAGTGATAACTGAAAAAAACCCATACCAAAATGCCGAAAACGACAGTGGAAAAGGCGCCGCCGACGAATCCTTCCCACGTTTTCTTGGGCGACAGCTTGATCAAGGGAGTTTTTCCGAAGAAGAAGCCGAAAAAGTAGGACATGATGTCGCAGCAAATGATCATCGAAACTGGCGCCAGGAACCTGGGAAAAATATCTTTTCAGTACATTTTTTTTTACCTCACAAGGAAGGTCGTTTCACTTTGCGGTTGGGAATTTCTTTGGAAATTAGCCAGAACACTCATTGTATCATATGAAGAACCCGTGAGGCCTAACCTGCACAACTTTTTTGTTTTCAAGAAGTAAGTGTTCAAAGCCCAAAAATGGCTCATTTGAACAGCTTTTGTGAGCTATTTGTAGCTTTCAGGTTCGTTTTTCAAAAACTAGAAAGTTGGAGACTTTCAGGATCTTCATCTGGCACATCGAAAAGTGGCCTGGGCAAATTCTAGAGAGTTTCTAAATGCAAAGAAAAATTATCTTCCTTGCTAGAGAGAGAGAAAAATAGCTACCCAAAGAAGACGACAACACTCAAAAGTGACTTCAAAATGAATTTCAAAAGTTAGGAAGATAAAAAAAATACTCCAAAAAAATCGATGAAAATGATGTAATTTTTGAAAAAAATCGCTTAAAGAAGATTCAACACAGTAAGATCCTGTACGATAAAACAAATAATGATCCAATTTTGTTGGATCATTATCAGTTCAACCCTGAATTTGAGGAAAAAAAGAAGTTTTCTGGTTTAAAACGATGAAAAACTAAATAAATCTTCAAAAAGCCCTCAAAATTTCCGAAATTTTTCGAATTGAAAATTTAAGACCCTCCCGAAAAAAAAGTAGAAATAAAAAAAAGTATTTATGGATTTTTTTCTGCTCACCAAATAATGCCTTGAAAAATGTTCTGAATGATGAAGAACGACTGGCTGACGATCAGAAGAAGCGAAATATGCGTCCAAGCGAACTGAAATAATAAAAATCAACTTTACCAACACCACCTTAATTTTTATAGAGTCATAATCAAACGATTTTTTGTTTAATTTAATCAAATGTAAATTGAACGAACCAATGAGAACTGGCGCATGTAGTATCCCTTACGGAGGGACAAAACGAACCAAACGAATCCGATACAGTACAAAAAGAAGGAGATCAGCCTGTGGTAGGTGACCAGAAAATTCAAAAAGTTCTGAAAAAGCATCAAATAAACTATAAATGGAAAGTGAAAACTGACGTCTTTTCGCAGCAAAATGGCCCAATAATCGATCAAACTTTCGCCGAAGAAGAAATAGTTGCTCGTCACCAGGAAATACCTGAAAAAGGCTTTTTTCACCGGTTAAAACATGAAATTTTTAAAGGCAATTTTAAAAACGGGCTATAAAGTATTCAAAACACCAACTCAAACAATTTCTCGGAAAGTTAATAAAACAAAAGTTTTTAAAGATTTTAAAAAGCCTTCAAAGTCAAACGTTTTTTTTGAAGAGTTTAAAAAATATGCCCGAAAAAGGTCTCAAAAAGTTGCAAAAAGCACATGCTTGTTTCAAAAAGGCTTTTTTCTTAAAGTGTGTGAAAAATCTTGTAAAAATGTCAAATATTAGATATAAACTTTAAATAGTTCAGAAAACCAGCCAAAAATCTCTCAAAACGTTAAAAAACACTTTTTTTTCTGAAAGGACTTTCAAGACTCAAAAAATTTTCACTTTTCAGAGAGCATATCATCTTTTTGGGTTAAAAACAAACCAGGACAAGGTTCGGAACCAGGGGAAATCATAAAGTCGATAGACAGCCAGGCCAATTGTGATTATCTCTTGGAAGCATTTGAACTGGATCAGGAACACCTGTAAACTTTGTCTTTTCTGCATGATTTTGTAAATTCTCTTTTCAAGGTTCAGCCTTAGCCTATAAATGTCTAGCTGTAACGCGAAGGCCTGTCTGCGCTCTCCACCTGCCAAACACTGTCTTTTCTTCTTTATTTATCGTGCCAGAACCCTTTTTCTATAGCTCAAGCCATTTTTTTCAGTGATTCTTTTTTTTTTATTTATTTAATCTTATTCGAATATGACAAAAAAAAAGAAGAAGAAACGAACCAAAGCCATGAGCCAAGTGGCGCCGCGATTCACCAAAAAGGAGAACATGGAGACCATTATGAAAGTGAAGACGCCACGGACCACCCAATTTCGCCATCTGGGAGAAAGTTAACGAATATATCGAAATTTCCAAAACTGGGAGCAATTTTTTTCATCATTTTCATCATTGAATAGCAAAAGTAAAAGCTTTTTACAAATGTTTCTTCATGTCGTGATTTCAAAATTGACGCTTTTCCCGTTTTAAATGATTTCACGAAGAACACGATGTCGGATTTTTAAGTCAGTGAAAAAATTAGGTCCTACAACGACCTTTGCGAGCAAAACTCAAAAATTATAACAATTTGGGCCTTTTTAACCAGAACTGGAGTAAAAGTCGCCATCTGGTTGTAAACCCAATCTTCTAGCGGCTCCCAAAATCCAATTTTGCGTATTTCACAAAGTTAGTTTAAACGAAAAATATTTCAATTTTAAAATCGCCGAAAATACTATGAATACGGCATCAAAAATAGCATGATTTCTATCTTTAAACTTTTTTTTTAAACCAATATTTTTTTCTTTTTTTACATTAAAAATTAAAAGGAAAAATGAACATTAAAAATTGCTTCTGATCTCAAAAACTGAATAATTTCGACTTTGATAGAAATCTTTCAATAACCCTTGGACTACTCGTCTCTCAGTACCACCGCTTATTATTTTGGAATCAATAGTTTTCAAGAAACAGTAATCCCATACAATGCGAAAAAAATATTCAAATATTTTTTTCTCTTGCTATGGATCTCACCTAGGAGGCAGCGATTCCAGAAACGAATCGGCGAATTCGCCAAGGCTTCCTTTGTCTTGAGGAATACTTTTCGTGTAGCGTTCCATTCTGAAAAACAAAAAAAAATTGAAAAACACATTTATTGTGCTATTTTTCAGTAGGGTCAGGAAAAAAACGGAAAGGCTTCTTGAAAGGTTCTTTCAAAAAAGAGCTTCTAAGAGTTCCCAAGAGTAATTTTGTCATTTTTAATATTTTTCACATCCCTTAACGAAAAGAACAACTCCAAAGATTTCAAGTGATTCTGAGGCTATGAAAAAAAAAAGCTCAAAGGGCGTTTCCCATAATTTCAAGCTTTCAGCGAAACTTTTTCAGCTCTTTTTGAGGGTCCCCAGAAGAAACTTTCCGTTTTACCTATGTAATAATAACTAAAAATGTGCATGATAGCCTATTCATAAATTGAGTGAATGTTTAATCGAAGTGCATTTTCTAAAAAAAGACTACAAGGAAAGATAATAATCCATTACTAAATCAGAACATTTTTTTTGACATGCTGAACAGAACACATGTACAACACACTGACAAACTTACTCTTCTTTTTTCTTGAGCCCGGCGTCGCTAAAAAGTTTTATAAAGTGATGAAAAACTTCGAAAAAGACGGAAAAGTATGAAGAACAGACTTTTTCTCATCAGCTTTCAGGAATTATTAGAGCACCAAATTAGGAAAATTACCACTTTATTCAGTTGGCCTCTATGAAATTCGCACTGTGTTTATCAAAACATATTTCTTTTCAAAGATAGAATTTGAAATTCTCCTTCGTTTTCTATATGGAAGTTGGTGATATAGCTGATTCACGGCGAGCTAGGAAGACTGGCCTGTCTGCGCACTCTCTAACCAGACACTGTCTCCTTTTTTTAAATCGTGTCAAGACCCTTTTTTGATGGCGTAAGTTAACCGTGAATCAGCTATATAAATTTATTTTGAATTTATCCTTTTTTTATCATGGTTCAAAATTGAATAATCACAAAACTGGCTTATTTTTAAAAGCTTAACTCAATAGCTCACTAAAATACTGTTTATTTTTCTGAAGTTACTATAATCCCTTCGTTTCCAAACATGTTCTACCTGTCCTCGTCGTGAAGGATGGCCTCCATGTCGCTCTCGTCGCTCGTCGGCCGCACGTCTTCGATTTTCGGCTTCAGAAGACGTTCCGCGGCGGCCTTCGACGGCGACGCCTCCGCCGGATGACGTTGTCTCAGCACGTCTTCTGTTTCGTGCATTTCTGAACCGTTTTATGATGATGTTGACTGAACTAAAGGCAAGTTTCGAAACGAGCGAGAAATCGAAATCAGCGATTTGAGAAGATTTTTTCCTAATTTTTTTTCTTGAAATTTATCTGCTGAAAATCAAAGTATTCCGAAGAAATATACTCATTTTTATATTGTATAGTAACGAGTTACAAAAGGTGATGAAAATGACCCTAGAAAATCGGGATTTTCTGCGAAACTTTTTCAAAAACTAACAGGATAAGGGTAAAGAGGGGACTTCGAATTTTTTTATACCTAAACCAGAAAAAAACTTTTAAAAAAAGCTTTTGGATTTTTTTAAAAATTAGATTTAACCATACTGATTATATCAAACGGAATACTGTTCAAAAATCAACTGATTAACGGCTACCAAAATAATTATCAAACCATACTCAAAACAAAAATATATACAGTACTTTTTTCTACAAAAAAAATGCTACTTTTCGGAGCGTTTTGAAACCTTTTCTCATGGTTTTCCTTTTGCAATGGAATCAGATAGCAAAACAATGCCAATTTCAACCAACAAAAAACCTATAGATGCGCAAAAATGCAAATACTTCACCCCACGCGGAACTTCCATGAATCACCACTAAACAAGTTCTTTCGAACAAATAATCCCTACTCTTCAAACAAAAGTCCTGCGAAAGCTTAAAATTTAGTTCAAGGGCAGTAAAAAAGGAATGAAATCAAACACACAGCTTTATTCGGGTTTGGAAGAGGTGCTCATAATTTGGGGTTTTCAAAAGCAAAATTTGAGTTATTTTCGCGTTTTCCCTTTCTTTTTCGTATTGATTGCGCTTCCGACCATAGGCTCAGAGCTCGCAATCTTCTTCTTTCCGTTTCAGGTTATGAAAATAAAAAAAAGTCAAATTATTAAATTTTTTTTATCAGAGACCGATATAAAACAGACTCTCCAAAGGCACATAATCTTAAATATTCAAACATAATGAATCAGATTGACAACTGATTAACAAAAAAGGCTAAGAAACAAACGCAAAAGAAAAAAAAATAAAAAGTGTGGCAATCAGCTGGCGGCAGACATTGGCACACACAGCCGCAGCAGTGCAAGACAACAACCTCGGGGGCTGAATCAATTGAATCTTCCGTATTACATCTTTCTTTCCACAAATAACATCACACGTTGAACAACAAACAGTTTAAAAATTGAACAAAAAGTTGGAAATCAGCTATTTTTAATATGTTAAAACTTCAGGCATGCGTAACAGTCTTATGAAACTCATGGAGACAGAAAACTGCATAAAAATGAAGGAAATACGTCAATATATACTTGATTTTGATTTTACGACACAGGCCAATGTCACAAGGGGCCAAACTGACCCTTGTTGATAGAAATGATAACAACCACAGCATCGCTTGTAGCCAACACCAACCATAAACAGACTAGAATTCAGCAAAGTTCAAACTTCTACTTTCACTAAAATGAACTGGACTTGAATTTCTAATGTTTAACAGCAGAAACGAACGCAACTTTCCCGCCAGAAAGTAGTGAGAAACGAAAATTGGCAAAATAAAAGTCTTCGCCAACCGCTAATGCGTGTGCATCAAGCTTACTGAATGCATGAAAGCACACAAATGGAGAAAAAACATGCCAAGCAAAAAAATTCTCTCTCTTGCAATCTCACTCATTTAAAAAACTGTGGAAGTGAACACTTCGACCGAAAAGAAATTTAAACTAAAACGCCAGTATAGAATGAAATTAAAAGTGTAGGCAATTGAAAGAGTGGAAGAAAAAAATAGAAATGAACGGACTCGCGTAAATATTTGCCAAAAGCCAGTCTCGAAAGAGCACACAGGCGTAACTATACACTTCTGACGCATACCGTACGATCATTTTTTTTTGTTTTTTTGCATGCAGAAGATTTTTAAAATGAACTTTTATAAATCTTTTGCCTTTTTTCACGCTTTCTTTTCTATGAGTATATTAATTTCACTGCAGTTTTTGTCCAGAAAACTACCTTGCAAAAGGCATTCAGGCTTTTGGGAAAGGATGTAATGTTTATTTCAGTTCAGTTAAAACCCGCTTTTCTTTATTATTCATGAGCCTTTAATTAATTGTGGGACAGTTACAGGTGCAATTTCATGCATGCTGAACAACAAACGAACGTCCGGCGACAGACAAAATAGCCGCCGGCAGCGGCAGAAGGCCGTGATCGATCCGCCAGACGTGTCTCTCTTGTCGGAAGAAGCTTAAAAGTCGACTTCTCTTCTGTCTCGTCGTCTGGCCGACCTCTCTCTCGTCGTGGGTATCCGCCGAGTACGTCACACGACCTTCGAGCATATCCAAATGAGCTTTGCCTTTCGTGAAAGGTTGTTCCTTTTTTCAATTTCCTTTTATGGAATTTTTTTATTGTCTAGCGGATCTCTAGGCAACGCTCCATGTGAGGTTCTTTTAGAACTTTCAGAAGACAAAATCCGAGAAAACGGAAAGTTATGATGGTTTTGAAGGTAAAAGTCAGTTTCACAAAAATGAAAAATTAAATTAATTGAGTTTCGAAGAAAAGTTCATCATTTCTCGTTCTAAATTCCTGTTTGAAGGAGATATTAGTTTAAAAAAATGCAGTTCTCATGTGTTTCTAAAACAGCAAAAGTTTATGGTGCTCATAAATCTCGCTGTCGCATGTGTACCCCTTCTTTTCCTTTTTTTGAATTATACTTTTCTCAAATCTATTTTACCCGTCATTACTCATGGAACTTGTACAGTTTTGTGAAAATTCTCTGAGTTTTTGACTCTTTTTCAAAATATTTATCTGATAGACTTCCACACTTCATTCAAAACAATTTTTAAGCTTAACGCTCTTTTTTGAGTTCTGACTACGACTTCCTTGAAGAAATATGATCAAATATAGCTATTTTAAGCCCTTAGTTCAAGTTTCGTACCATTAATCAGATTTTCTGCCAATTTTTCCCGTTTGAATGCAATTTGATATCCTTGGTATTTTATTAGGTGTGAGAAAATTTCAGATAATTATGCCTGACAGAGCAAGAGACCGGGAAAGACCCCGGGAAAGAGAAAGTAGAAAAAGAAGACGTCGCGAGTTCGAAGAAGACGAAGATGAGGGCGGAATCTCAAGTTTTTCGAAGCGGTTTTCCGGAATAATTGTATTTTGATTCAAGGTTGGAAAGTCGGACTCGTCATTGGGGTCATCGTCGTTTGTTTTGCGATGCTCTACCCTGCTCTTTTCCATCCCATGTTGATGGGTCTGATGGGTCAGTTTCCTTTTATTTTAAGAGATATAATAAAAGTTACTGCTTCCCCAGAAACGCTGGGGGAGTTCCTAGAGCGGTTAGGGGAAAATGAACCTCTAAAGGTGCAATTTCAAGCATAAAGGGGACAAAATAGTTCCACAGAGGGCTTAAATTTAGGTGGTCCCTATAGGGTTTTCGAGCTTGACGTCTAACATCTGTAAGCCCATAAAGCTTGAGTAGTTCCTATAGTGGTTTTTTTATTTCTTGTTATGATTGGAATGATAAAAATACCTACAGGACCTCTAACATGATCCTCTAGATTGACCCCTTTTGTGAGTTTTTGGTCCCCCAATAGGGGAAGGTAAAGTGGTCCCAAAAGGAGGACATTTTACCCTTAAGTTACCGCTCTAGGGACCAAACTAGCGTTATCGAGATATTTTTTCTAAAGTAGTTGTCGAAAAATTATTTTATATGTTCGTTCCTCTATAAATGTCGCCAACGAGGTGAAATTTGAGAACAGGAACTTGAGAATTTGAGCAAATAACAGGCGAACCAGAAAAATAAGAAAATTATAAGGTAGGAAAGACGTGGAGAATGCGGAGCTGATTACAATTTTTTTTTTAATTTGGGGCAGGAAAAAATTTTGAGTTTTCAAACGGTGAAAGTTTCAAAAAAGACTTCTTTCATTGTAATTCTGAGAATGCGATTAGTGTTTTCTGACAAGAAATAAAATTCATCTGAAGTTTAGAACGAATTCTCTGAAAATCACTTGTTTTTTAGAGAATTTTCGGTTACAATTTATTCAATTGAACTATCTATTTTTTTCAATTTTCAAATGATGCAGATGAAAATCAGGTTTTATTTAAAAAAATTTTTTTGATTTTTTTGCACCCTCTCAAACCGATCATTTGAAGTCAAACGAAGTTACGATAAAGTTTCGGTTATTTTTTTATAAACGTTTAAAAAAATATATTATTTCAAGGATATTTTTTTCTTCCACCAAGAGAAATAAAAGAATGCTATCAAAAAAATGACTAAAAAGTGAGTCAATATTCGAGGAAATCATTGAAAATATATCTGTTCACATTGATTTCCTTCTAAGGGGATAGTCAAAAAGTTGACAAGAAACCAAATTTCACAAGAATTTCTCAAGGTAATGGCAGAATCACTAATCGGGAAGGCTTAAAAAGACCAATTTAGCATTAAAACCAGCGGGAAAGCTCTTATTTTTGTGTACCTAGTTTTTTTATCACAAGTCGAACTATAATTTAAGATAATTTCCTGGCGAAAAGCTCCGCAATTTTTTTCCATAAAAAAATAAAAAAATTTTTGGAAAAATTCGTTGTAAAACTTTACAGAATTTTTGGATGAAATTACTTTGAACACGGCATAAATACTGAATGTTCCCACGATAATTCAGAAAAATGTCTTTATAGGGTCAAAGCAACAGCAGCCGACGACATCGCAGGCCCGACCTCCGATCCATCCGGCGATGGGCGGCGGCGGCGCCGGCGGAGGACGACATCCAGGACCTGGAGTCCGGCCTGACGTCCATCCCGCCATGAGAATGGCTCATGCTCAGGTTTTTTCAAGTTCAATAATTGTAAAAAAGTAGAGTGGGAAAAAATAAAATCGTATAACTTATATACGGTATAAGGCGATGAATAGTTTGATGTTTTGTAGTTGATCATTTTCAGACTGAAACACAGTCCGGAGGTCGCGGAATGTTCACTTGGATGCTTCCTTTGTACACGGTCGGCGTCGTCGTTTTCCTTCTATATACTCTCTTCAAGGTAGTTTTTCTAAAGGCCTCTGAAAATCATCAACTTCTTCCAGTCAAAGAAGAACAAGAAGAAGAAGCGACGTTACGACGAGTCAAGCGAAGAAGAAGATGATGAGTCCGACGTGAACGACGTCTACAACGGAAAGAGATTGGGTACTCACAAACATCGAAAAGGAATTTATGGGAAAAAAAAGACATTTTTAGGAAAGAAGAAGCTCCGAGGACTTCAAGAACGTCTCCGACAAACCGAAGAAGCCATGACGAAGATTCTGGAGCAGCTGGAAACAGTGCAAGCGGGAGATTTGGGCTTGGATTTGGATGCTTTGGAAGAGGTACAATAAAGGCTGATTTCGGAAGAAAAGAAAGGGATCAGGCTTCAAAAGCCGCCGAGCAGGACGAGTCTGTCGAAGTTGACGACGGAGAAAAACCCAGCACTTCCAAGGCGCCGCAGCAGAACGAGCAGTACATCAACGACTTGGAGAAGGCTTTGAAGGACTTCAAGGTAAGGGGAAACCCTGACTGAAGATTGATTTTTGAGAACCTTTTGGGTCGAACAATTTGAGCTTTTTTTTTGAATTTTGCGCGGATCCTGGGACCTTTTTTGAACTTCATCTTGACTAAATTTTTTTTTTCAATTTTTTATCGTAGAATTCATTCGCAAGGGTTTTAAAAATTCTGACGCGTCTTCTCTTTTCTCTGATCGAAGATAGAAAATGAAAAAAAAAAACCTCGGATGAGAAAAAAGAGAGCGCAGACAAGTCAGAAAAATTTTTTTCGTGGTCATTTTTTTGCTGTTTTTTTGAGATTTTTTTAAGATTTATACGTGGTTTTTAATAGTTTTTAATAACTCCAAAAAAAATATTCTGAAGAAGAATTTTTTTAAAGAGAGGACAAGAAATAGGCCCTGAATCTGAAAGACATGGTTACTTTCGGTACTTTGGAAATTCTTTTTTTGAACTCTAGGCAAATTTGTTCGTCAATATCTAAAATTTACAGGACCTCTCTCGAGAGTACGAAAATGCCAAGATCGGCGGCCGTCGTTACAAAAAACGGGATTCTGAAGATGAAGAGGAGGAAGAAGACAACGAAGAAGAAAACACGAGCGACGGTGAGTTGAATTCCGAAGCGAGCACGTCGGAATCCGAAGACGAGCCTCCGCCGCCGCCGCCCCCTCCGAAGAAGTCAAAGTCGAAGAACAAGTCAAAGGCCAAGAAGAAGATCGAGGACAAGTCTGAGAAGGAAGAAGAAGAAGTTGAAGAGGAAGGCATCGACATCGACGCCGAGTTGGCCAAGGAGTCGCTGATAAAAAGTCAGCCGAACAATGATAACAATAAGAAGGTCCGTCGGAGACCGAAGAAAACTTAAGGGAACTGAGGGATTTTGGAGGAATCCCTATAGGGGTGAAAATTGGCCCCTTTAGGGCTTTTTGAACGGTCCACTAAAACTTTGAAGCTTTAGTGCCCCTCTATTCGCAGAGCGTAGGACTACCTATTACACTCCCTATAGGGACCACTCCAAAGTTTTTCAGAAGCAAGAAATCTTTGCATTTTTTAGCCTTTTGGGTCTCAAATATTTTTCGAAGGTGCTCTTAATTCTTTTCTCGAGAATTTCAGTGCAAGCCTATACTTTTGTCAATTTGTCATTCTTCTTCCATATTGCAGCTATAAATCTAGTCTTGTCACGTGTGCGTATTTATCTTTTCAATATCCTCAATATTCCATTCACCGCTAACTTGTGTCGAAATTATCATAGAACAATCTATAATTCGCCAAATTTCGGAAAAATTTTCACTTTTTTTGACGCTAAATAATGATTTTCAAAAAACAGGATATTTGAGAAAAAAACAGATTTTCCAAAAATTGATTCAAGCTAGCGGGAATGAACTATACTTTGCCTGCTCACACTATTTCTTGTGCCAATTTTTCTCGATTCGGCAATCCCAATGTTCTCAATATGATATCAAGTGCCATTTTCTGCGTCATTTATTTTTCTAAAAATACACCTTTATACATTGGAATGTTAGACATACACAACGAATGGCAACTAAAAATGTACAAAATGCAAGAAAAAAGGGGGGATTTTAGAAGCAGACGGTATGAGTGGAATGTCTCATGTGGAGGTCCTTGGCGATCATCTCCGCCGTGATCGGATGCATCGATCCGCGGCCTTTCAGGTAGGTCTCGCGGGCCTTTTTGTTGGCTGCCGGCCATTGAGAGAGGTCTCTGCAAGACATTATTGAGCAATAATTCGAAATTATTGACAAAATAAGCTTTTGACAAGAAAGATCATTTTACTCTGCGTTTGGGAATGTCTTGGAAATTGGCCAGAACGCTCCTGATGTATCATATGAAGAACCTGGGAAACCTATTTGGCACATTTTTTTTCTTTCGAGAAAGAACCCCTTTAAGTTGGAGAGAACCGTTGAAGTGAGCTGTTTTGGATGCTTTGAACACTTATTTCACGAAAACTATTGTTTTGTTCAGGTTAAAACTACTGCGAACATCATGCTGTACATCAACGAGTTTTCTGGCCCAACTTCTGGAAATTCACAACCGCGGAATGAAATGAGAATTTTTTTGAGACATCATGCATCAACTTTTACGCTTCGTAAATGAGTTTCCCCTAGGCAATCTAAAATTTTTATCGTTTTTCAGAGAAAAATGCTAGTTTAAATTTTTAATTTCATCGTTTTCAGTGAAAAAATGCTTGAAAATTTGTGAATTTTGTAGGCTGGAAGTAAGAATTTGAAGAGTTTCTAAATCTTTATGATATTTTTAAACTGAAAAAAACGAGACCAAAATCAAGCAGATTTTTTTGCATAAACAGTATTCCTGTTTCAAATAATATTTTTTTGAAAATATTTTTCTTTTTAAAACTAATAAGAATTCTCTAGAATTTGAAAAAAATGCAGAAGCTTTCAAATTCAAGAATGCAACTATTTTTTTATCTATTTTTTTATTCCTTGAACCAGTTTTTTTCTCAAAAAAAGGCTGAAATTTGATGCATCGGAACTTCTCGAAAAAAATGTGTACCTGTACACGGGTCGACAGAATTTCAATCTTCCTTGAGAATTGACAAAATCGAGCGCTTTCGGGATGATGGGCTCCCACTTCGACTTGACACAAAGGCGGATCCAACTGAAGTTATTTTTTTGATTAGTTGATAAGATTTCTCGAAATTACTTCAAAAGTATCTCGCTGTTCTCCGAGGCGTTCAATTTGTACAGGGAGTTCAAAGCGTCCAGTTTATAGTGTTCCAGGGGAGGTTCGTGCTGAAATCAGACTTTGAATGAATCTCAAAATATTTTTCTGAAGAGACCTGCCAAAGTTGGGAGAGGAACTCGATCTGCTGCAGGGGCTGCATTTTGACGTACGAGTCGGCGTTGATCTTCTCGACGGTGTTCTCGTCGGCCGCCAGCCACTCTTTCAGAAGTTCTTCGCAAGCTTCTGCCATCGCTTGCCCGTAGCTGCAAAGGAAAGCGTTTTAAAGTCATCTCAAACTGAGGCTTCTGGTTTTTTTGTTGTTTTTAAAATTTTTCTGATCTGATAATAATTTTTTTTTCCTTTTGTCATCAAAAAAAGCTTGAGGATCTTGAATGAATTGATGAGAAAAGAAAAATTCAAAAAAATTGCGTTTAAAATGGAAATAGAAGTTAATCATTCAAACTGCCGTGGAACTGATATTTAAAAAAAATTAATGATCAGAGACGATAAAACTGAACGGAAGATACTAACTAAAAATACTAACTAAATTTCTAGATGGACATAAAATAAGAACTTTCGTCAAGTAGTTTTGAGTCAGGCGCACTTTGAGCAACTAACTCATAGCCAAGCCATTCCACATGCGACCCACTTTTTACAGTTCAAAAAAAAAAAAGAGATGATAGCATTGCGTGACGCTCGTAATAATACATGAAAAAACGGAATTATTTTTTTCTTTTGAAGTTGAAACGGTGAAGTTATTTAAATTGAAAAAAGCTACAATTGACCTGACAAAAACGGACTCACTTTGGTTTCTCGGGAGGCATACCAACGCCGAAGAACCAAGCGTCGAAGTTTACAGTGTCCAGGATTTCCTTTTTGTCCTAAAATATCAGATTGTTCAAGAAAACTATCAAAAATTTACTTTAAACGTCGAAAATATTGGAAGAAAAGTGTATTTTTGATTGACAAGAAAAATCATAAAAATGATTGCAGACTTTGAAAATCTTATGAAATTTCTACCAGGTGGTACTCACGTGGAAGTACTTGTACAGATGCTCCTTCCATTGGTAACTATCGATCGCCTTGTGGGCGAAGGTCTCAATGTAGTTTCGAAGGTACTCTTCGAAGATCTCTGCAAAAAAGATTCTTATCATTTTCTTGCAAATGTCTTAGATAATGCAGAAATCATTCCTGAAACACCAAACAACTCTTGGAACGGCATTCTTATCACAAAAATGTGCAGAAACGATCAAAAAAGAAGAAGAAAAGCTGGGCAGACGTCTCAACGGGTATACCCTTCTCAAACAAAAAAAAAAGATGGAACCACACTAAATGTGCAAACACGCCAAGTGCGGACTTTCACATACAGTACTCTTCGGAAATGGCAAACTACAGGTCAACTTCATCCGCATGAGAAGAAGAATTACCAGCGCCGCCGAGTTTCTGTTCAAGATAGATCAGAAGAGCGGATCCCTTTTCGTAAGGAACGCAGGAAAACGCGACGTCCGGATCGACATTTGTGTGGTCTTGGATGAGTTTCGTGAACTGATGCGTCGGCGTGAACTGTTCGTATACCTGGAATACCTTTCTTCTCATTTTTTTCTGGAAAATATTCCAAGAAGCCAAAAAAGTTCCTTGTACGTGAAAATTCACCTTTCTGTGAAAATTTTTAAGTGGCCACTATAGGGGCTTGCCAAGGACTGCTTGGAGAGGACACTAAAGTGGCCACTAAACCCACCTCTATAGTGGCCACTATTTTCGGTTTTAGTGGCCACTTCAGTAGTTTTCATCCAGTATTCCTTTCAGTAACTCTGATAAGTTTAAAACAAAAAGATTGGACTAGTTGTGTTGATCCATTGACCCCTAAAGTGACCACTAAAATTTTTAGCGGTCGGGTAGTAGCACTTAGACCTCTACAGTGGCCACTAACTTTTAACGAAAAGGTGAAAAAGTTTATAAATAATAGAAGTTCAGACTATCCCTATAATTGAAATTTTTTTCAAATTTTTCAGAATTTCCTAACTACTTCTAATTTTTTTCCTTTAAAAACGACAGTTTCCAAAAAGAAAATGGCTTTTTTTAACTTCAGAACTTGAATATTTGGATTGGCGGACTGAAAATAATCTTTTTTTCAATTTGCTGTTTTTGGAATGCTTTATATTTATTTCAGTATATAAATGATATTCAGAGTCTTTATCAAACTTCGCAACCGATGAAAATTTATTCTCTTGTTTTGTGAAAAAAAAATATCCCGTTTCCTAAAAAGGAAACTTTTTCGTTTCTGCTTATTTTCAACATGTGATGGATATTTGAATGCTTTTCTGTCTACGTGAAACAAATTTTCTGTTTTTTGGTATCAGAACCCTCTGAATCGACTTACAGCGGGAACCAAGGAGTTGGTCCAGCCGTTGAAAGCCATAAATTGTCGATAATCTTCCGAAACCAGCCGACCGCAGATTTTCCGCTCAATGAACATGGTGAATCCTTCATTTAGCCTGAAAGATAAATGTTGTATTTATTAATTCTTCTTTCTGACCAGAAATGTTCCCAACTGCTGTTCGTCACGAGATTCCCCGACCAACTGTGGGCGATTTCGTGCGCCACAACACTAACTAAAGAACGATCGCCGGCCTAAAATTGATTTTTGATATATTTCCTCTATTTTGGAAAAATTACAATAAGAGTTGGGGTCAAAAAGGTCAGGCAGGGATTTTCCATGCCTCCGAATGGGAACGAGGGTGGCAGGCAGACCATGTCGTATCTGAAAATGGAAGAAATAAATGTGAATACTGAAAAAAAGTCCGAAAAATCCTGAAGTGAAATAGTTACACAGATATAAGTTTTTCTCTAGAACTGAATAAGAGATCTTCTTTGAAAAAAAAATTCTTTTTTTTTTTCTGAGAAGTCTGCTTTTTTTTAAAGAAACTTTTTCTTCTTACACTGAATTTGATGAAATTTGACCAAACTTTATTTCAAAACCTTCGTTTCTTGCTGAGGCAAAAGTAGCGGACTTTTTTTTTATTATTCTCGACTTGTGATATGATCCAAAGGTTTTGAGTAAATTTTATGAGTTGAAAATTCTTGTCTCTGGTTGATAACATTTGTTTTCGAAACATGTAAAAAAATACTCCAAGCTTCTTAAGCTACAATGAGGAATATCAAAACCTTTTTTTTTTTTGAAACACGTATTTTCTAAGTCACAAACCTTCCCCAAATGTATTTCCCCGCGATTTCTTCAGCACAACTGAGGATGTCTTCAGTTTCGGCAAACTCCCAGTGGGCCTTTTCGACGACCGAAGGCTCCGCCCAAACGGCGCAGCTGCAAATTAATGATAAACTGATAAAAACTTCCATTCGAACTACCGTTCGCTGATGTCGCGTTTCTCCAAGCAACCGACCACGATTGCGATCAGGTAACTCGGGATGGGGACCGGTTGTTTGTAGAAAAAGGTCGTGAACTCCTCGTCGCCCTTGGATCCGGCGCCGATCGCCGACATCAAGCAGGTCATGCCGACGGGAACCGTTACCTACAGTTTTTTGTTTAGCTCAGGAGAATTCACTTGGTTGAAAAAACTCTTAGAAAATATTACTTAGGTACCCCAGAGTGGTTCCTATAGGGGCAACCTTAGGCCTTTGGTTCCCCTCTAGGGACCACTTTAACTCCCCCTCCAGGGACAACTGAAACTTGAAAAAGTGTCCCTTATAGGGTACACGCTATTCGATTATTGTAATGAACTCTAAGAAGCTGCGAAAACAAGAAATTGTGGTACTTTGAATGTAGGGTTCAGAATTTTTTATAAATTTGCTCAAACAATATTTGATGGACTGGGAGTCGATCCCCCATAGTCGCTACCTGCACAAACTTTTTGTTTTGGAGATATGATTTTTCAAAGTTTTTATCCTTAACCATGTGACGCCGTTTGGAAGGAATGTGGCCGCGCCACCAACCACTGCATGGCAGCTAGGAGCGTGGTGCAGTGGCTAGCGTGTTAGCCTGCGGAGCCTATTATGAAGGTTCGAATCCTTTTGCCGCTAACTTTTTTGCCATTATTTTTTTTAAGAGTTCTGATGAGAATATTAAAATTTCATGAGTAAAACCTTTCCAAATAAGTTCGATAGCTATTTTCTTTCTAAAATCGCTTTTTTTATGGACAATAGTTATGGAAACTTTCTGAAGTTGTGGCGGACTTCACATCATCAGAGAATTTTTCCCAAAAAAACATTTTTGCTCAAAAAGATTTTTTTAGATTCTTGAAAAATTTGAAAAATCTGGATTAGGATGGAAATGGGGTTTGGAAGTTTTTTTTCAATAAAACTCGGATGACAGGTAAGTTTTCATATTCTGTAAAGATGTTTCTCCAGAAGTGAGGCAGAAATTGGCTATTGAAATATTGAAAAGCCACTGTTATTTATCACAACCAAGACATGCGAAGATCTTCGATGAAGGTTCAGCGCTTTTTTTAAAAACATTTTTTTCGCTGATTTTTCAAAAATAGTCTCTGATGATGTGGAGTCTGCCACAACTTTAGAAATTTTTCATGATTTTTTCCCATCAAAAAAAGCGATTTCAGAAAGAAAATAGCTATCGAACTTATTTGGAAAGGTTTTACTCATGAAATTTTAATATTCTCATCAGAACTCTTAAAAAAAATAATGGCAAAAAAAGTTAGCGGCAAAAGGATTCGAACCTTCATAATAGGCTCCGCAGTCTAACACGCTAGCCACTGCACAACGCTCCCAGCTGCCATGCAGTGGTTGGTGGCGCGGCCACATTCCTTCCAAACGGCGTCACATGGTTAAGGATAAAAACTTTGAAAAATCATATCTCCAAAACAAAAAGTTTGTGCAGGTAGCGACTATGGGGGATCGATTCCCAGTCCATCAAAGATTGTTTGAGCGAATTTAGAAAAAATTCTGAACCCTACGCTAAAATGACCTCCCATGTGAGCAGAAAATTAAAAGACCCTATAGGGACTACTTGAGCAGTAGGTGCTTAGGGATCAGATCCTAAACCTCTGTAGGGATCGCCTAAATTTCACCTCTAAAGGGAGTACTATTTTGCCCTTATGGGGGCTATTTTCCCCAGACCATATAAGGGCCGTTCTGGCGATTCTAAGTACGGTATAACCTACCTCAGCCTCGTAGGTGCTTTTTACAGAAGGAGTGTCCATGCAAGGAACAATGGATCGAGCGTGGATCGCTTGGCATTGAGAGAAAAGATAAGGAGCCTGAAAATCGGTTAGATCACAAAAATTCTCAGTTTCTAACCTTTTTATCAGCCGTCTGCTCCTTTTTCATCCATTGGAGAGCGGTGGCATCTGGCGAGGTGGCGTAGGAAATAACCACCGACCTGACAATTTTCAAAATTTTTTCATTCAATTTCATTATTTGTTACAATTTAGCGCCTTCTTTCTGGAAATCCGGGGGAATGTAGACGGTCATTTTCGAGCCGAAGAACGTGTAGACATTGGGAGCGATGCGGAAATCGCAGTCGGAACCATTGATGGAAACTGAGCGGATCGACAGGTCTCGCACATCCAGAAGCTTAAATAAAGTCTTGAGAAAATGTATAATATATTGACACAATGATTCCAAAAAAAACCAAACCACATTTCCCCCTTTTCCCGTTTTTTTTTAAACGATCGTTATTTCTTTGATTAGAGACTTTCCGAGAAAATAATTGAACCCAACTTTCTTACTACGAAAAGACTTGTTCTCCGTATACTTTGTGAAAACACAAGAAATTATAAAATAAAAATAAAATTACAAAAAAACTATTTTTTTCGAGAGTAAAACGCCCCCGAGTTGCAGATTGACGCAATACTACACACAAATTGTACCGTACTTCTTGGCGAAAAGAAAAAAAGGTTCCGGGGTTTTTAAAAAAACTACTTCGATAACAACAATAATAGTTTAAATAATTTATATATGCATTTGCTGACATTCTAAAATACATAGTCATGCACATTTCGCGGAAAATTTCCCTCAAATCATTTTCGGAGAGTCCTCATTAGGAGTGTTCAAAAGTACTATCGTACTTGCGATAACGTACATAACTTTTTCGAGCAATAAACCGAGGCGGGTCAGGTGGTTTAAAGTTTTTCTTTTCTTATCAACTGAGCTTATCAGTTTCCATTGAAGTGTGACTGACGGCTTTTTGGAAGAAGTTCGTGTTCTTTTTGATCGTGTTGTACACTTTCTTTGTAGAAATAGAATGATTTAAAAAGGATAAAATGTACAATTTGTTTTTTTAAGAGTTCCTTTTTTCAATAAGTGTCTAATATGTTCGAGATCTGAATGGTTATCAAAAAATGAAACTAACGATTTTGTCGGTTTTGGCGAGGCATTTGCAGGTGAGGGTCGCCTGGCCGATGAGCATTTTCAGTTGAAATGTGACGGTCCATTTGATCGCCGTGTGCTCGACGACAACTTCATTATTATTGGCTGCGGAGCACGGATCCCGCTGTGGCCGGTAATGACTGTGGCACATTTTTGATCTGGAATAATCAAGAGAATCACGGGGAAATTTGTAGCAACTATAATCTCGCGAGGTTTCTTGACGTGGAATATTCTCGGCCGTTGTGACCGGCCGGCATAAGAGGCTTATTTTCAATGAAGATTAAGGCAAAATGGTTGGAAACATGTTGGCAAGCGGATTATTTCGAGTGGACATGATGTAATGAATCCATGATTCGATGGACAGTCGTTAGTTCGAACTGATTTTCTGTTTTCAGAGCAATAGTTAAATTCCTTTTTTTCTATAAAAACGAAGGAAACTGACCGTTTTTATTACATACATTTATTACTGTACAACGCTAAAAAGACAAAAAAGAACAGCGCTATCGTTTTTGTTTCGGGAAAAATCTGAAAAAAAAGAAACCAAAGAGAAAACTTATGAAATTTTTTTAGAAAAAGCCCAACAAAAAAAGAAAATTCTGACATTCAGGTTGGATTAACAAAAATATAAAAAACTTTCTACAAAATGGTCACAAACAGCAAAAAATCTGGTATTATTGCTTCTAGATTTCGTTAACGAAGAATAAAACTTCATCAAGACTTTAGGAGGCTTGGCTTCGGATATTGCAAATGAAGGAAAAAAGGACGACTTCTCGGGTCGAAAATTCACAAAAGTGATTCTGGATAGAGGCGGAGACGGAAAAGCTCGTGACGGCCCGGCTGATAAGCTCGGTGAGCCGATAAGGACGAAGCAGGAGGGAGTGTGACGAGTGTAGGCGGCGAAGGCGCTGAGAGGTTCCCGCAGACCGGCTGTCAACGGCTATCTCCTCGGTTCCAGGCTGATTGACGTACTGATAACAGCTTCTGGAATTGCTGACGATGGGCAGACTTTGGGTCAGAGTATAGAGACGTTTTTTTTGGTCATGGAAAGGGCTCTGCGTTTGGTGACGCTCAAAACGAGATGAGAACAAATGAAACGACCTGAAAAGTAGCAGTTTCGTTGCATTTGCGAAGTTTGAGGAAGAAATAAGCTTCACTTCGTTAAAGAATACTACTGCGCAGAAACCGTTTGAAGTCGGATGAGCTGAGGAAAAGCAACCGCTACGCGACCGCGACACCTTGAACCATTCCTCGCCACATCACGTTGCAAGAAAGACGGAAAAATCAGATTTTTCAGATCTACCGTTTCTGCATTGGGTGGATGTGATAGTAGGAAGTTTGCGTTGAAAACTCGAAGAAATTTTTTCAGTCGTCTTTTTTTTTAAGGCCGAAATTTAACATATTTTTAATTTTCTGTTCCGCTCGGAAAATTTTTTTCAAAGAAGAGATCCTTTCGTTTTTCATTTCAGCAGGTACCGAAGCTCCGCTGTGTAATTAACTTAAATTATCTCCTGTACTTTTCCCGAATTAAAAATCGAGTTGAGTAGATTGGCAAGGGAGAAGCGATGCGAACGCGACGCCCCTTTTGGCGGAAAAAAATCGAGTTCAAATGCAACCATGGAAAAATATAGAGAAAAAAAGACTTTTTTTATTATCTTGAATATTTTATTCGTTCAACTAATTTCATAATCATGAAAAAAAGTTATTGAAAAAAACTGTAAAAAAAGGAGAAAAAAAGTGGCTTCCGTTTGACTTAGAGTTCCCTCGTCAAAAAAGCCGCGTCACGTACGCAACGCGGCTCGTTTTTTTCGAGTCGGGAAAAAAATTGACTGTTTAATTTTTTTGGATCAACTTTAAGTTATTTGAAGTATTGATTCAGAAATTCTTTTTTTGGATTCTTTTTTTTTCGAATTATAACTTACTGCCAATGTTTCCGAGCTTCACCAAACCAATAATTACTAAATTGTGTCCCTTAGAAAATCGTACGATGAAATGTCAGGCGGCTGTCATCTTAGAACCCATTTTGAGCCCTTTGTTCTCGACACGGACAATTCGTCCCGGAGCACGCGACGAATAAGACAAGCTGCAAGACGTCTGGAACCCAAAAACTTCATTGTCTAACGTCGGAAAAAAGACTATAAGCCGATTAAAATCCCCTCCTTTTGTGCTGAATCACGTTTTGCCGATTCCGAAATGGCATATCGTTATTTCATCATTGATAAAACATTGCTCCAATTCCTCGCCTGGAGACTTTGATTTATCGGTTCTGGCGTGGCGCCAGAGTGTCACTACACGTGAGACCAAGAAATCAAACTATTTAGTAGTACTCTGGACAAATCAAAGGGCTGTTTCTGGTCGATGCGATAGAGAAGTGGGCTTTGGAAAGTTTTGTTTAATAAAAAGTAAAAATGGAACAAAAAAAGGTTGAGGCAAGTTTTTATTTTAAAAAAAAGAGTTAGTGCATGTCCTTCTTACTTTCTCAAGGTAATTTTTTTTTTGAATTGAAGATGGAAGTTGTTTCTCATTCATACGAGACAGGGAAGTCTCAAACTTCGTTTTTCGGCTACCATCAAGAAAATATAGTTTTAATGTTCCTTGTCCTTTCAAACTGAAAGCCGGGATAGCAAAGCCTTATTTTTTTCTTCGAGAGACTCTACTAGGATCTCCGCTTCCCAACGAGTTGAAATTGAAACTTGAAAAATAAATTTCTACTAAACCCCGCAGGCAACCGAGGAAAAGCTCGTCGAAAGTTTTCCAGCGCGCAAATAACCGCGCTCGGAGCTTCGGCTAGCAACTTGCGGCGTGGTGTAGTGGTAGTGGTCTCCCGAAGCTTGTCAATATTGTGACCATTGTTCGAATCCTTTGGCGAAAATCGTTTTTGCCGGCTTATAACTTTATTTTTTTCAAATATTTGTTTGAGCCGAGTACTCTTAGCTAGGCCTATCTACCCAAAAAGTCTCAAATCTCAACTCGTTGTCGAGCGGAGACCATGCCCTAGTTAGTCTGTCCTTTTTCGAAAATTTATGATTTTTGAAAATCTCCTCTGGGCAATTAACTTTGTGACCTCTCAATAATCAGAGCACCTTATTAAACCCAAAACCTTCAAAATCTTCTACTCTCAATGAATAACTTACTATGTTCCCTCGATCTTCATCAATCCACCCGTCCAGAACAGTTTAGAGTTTATTCATTTCGAGTGCCATAAAAAAACGATTTCTTTCTCAAATGCAAGATCTTATGCGGTAGCTGTGTCGACGACTTGAATCTGCTGCTGGACGGAGACCTCGGCGACGTTGTCGTGCTTCTCCGGATGATTTGCCGGATTCGCCTTCTTGTGGGTCGGATGAGGGGCCATTCTGTCGTGCGGGACTGGCAGAGGGACCACTTCGTCGTCGGCGTCTTTCGGCGCCTTCGAGCGGTAGCTCACGACTTGGTGAACGCTTCCCGACAATCCATCCTTCTCCGCGGGATTCTTCAGCGTCTGGTGATTGGCGTGGGTCGGGACCTTGATTCTTTGGCTCTTCTCCAATGGAACAACATAATCCTCATCGTCTTCGTCGGGCTGAGGCTTGGCGGCACGGAAGCTGACCACTTGGTGACTGTATCCGGCTCCTTGGACGTCGTTATCCTTGTGATTGCCGTGCTGTCCTCCGGCGGGTTTCTTGTGGTTGTTCACATTTCTCGCGGGCTTCTTCTCTTCTGGAAGGGGAACGATGTAGTCGTCGTCGACGATTTCGGCAGCTTCTGGTCGAGGCTGTAAAATACGACCAAAACTTTTTCTTACTTTTGGCTGACTGCTTTGCGCTAGGGAAAAGACCTAAATGAAACTTCAGGTGGATTTACTTAAAATTTAGAATTTTTTGGTCTTTTTTGTTCAAGTTTTTTACTTCTTTTAAACTTCTTATTGCTGCGAATATCATGTCTAAAACAATATTATTTTGTGAGATATTTTTTCCAAAAATTAGGAAAAACCTTTGAAAGGTTTCCTGTTTGGTAAATAATTTTGAAAAATTGATATAAAATTTTTCGTTCTTACTGTTTTTCTAACGGAAATCTTTTCTTTTTTCTTCATTTCTGAAATCTAATGAAATCATATACTGTTTAGAGGGTCTTGAATTTCATCATCATCTAAAAATTCCTCAAGCTTCAAAAATTATTCGCAATTTCTTTTTTTTCGGAAGTTTATAACTAACCCTGTGAGCGACGCGCTGTTGAATGATGCTTCCAGTGGCAGCATCTTTCTGAATATCAAAAATTATTAAACTTTTTTCGTTTTAAACTATTCGAAAAAGCTGATTCTGGAGGAAAAGTCTTACAATATCGTAGTAAGCTTCTCCATCGATCTCAGTTGTTCCAATGATGGGACGTTCGCTCATGTTGTCCAGGTAGCTCTGAATTTATTTTCGAACTTCTTGGAATATTTTAATCGAAGTATTGAAGACTTGATACACTTATATTATAATATGGCAAAACTTGGAAAGCCAAAACGCGCCCGCCTTAACACGACTAGTAGTGACGCTTCCAGTTATTCCAAATGCGGCCGCAATTTTTTGGGACATGAATTTAGAAGAGACTGGAAACCTTGTAGAAGGTGCTCACGGCGTTCCTCATGATCGTTCGCTGCTCTTCAGTTTGACCAGGCCTCTGGAATTATTTCATTTTTTAAATTAACCCTAGCCCATCAGTCATTTCTATCAAAAACATGGTTTTGATTTTTTTCATTTTGAAACATAAATCACGTTGGTTTTATGGATTTTTTCTCATCAAAGTCGAACTCGTTTTGTAAAAAAGTCACGTTGTTCAAAAAACAGTCAAGATGCGCTTTTTTCAATCAGATCCTCATTTTGGACGTGTATCGTTTCGAAATAAAAACACACCCTCTCCTGCAGTCCCTTAATGACCTTTTTTCCATTAGAAGTTTAATTTTGACTCATTTTGAATAAAAAAAGAACTCACGTTGTACATTTTTTCGAGCATGGTCGCGCGAGCTCCAAGCGTGGCTCGCTGCTCGTCGGTCATGTTTCCGGGGTCCAACTTGTTGAACATGTTGGTGAAGTTGATGTTCTGGTCGGCGCCGTCGTTGACCCCAGCATAGTCAGACTGTGCAACGTGAGGAGCCTCGACGACGGATCTCGGACCTCCGTTTCCTTGGTCGGCCAAGTTTTGGAAGCACTGGAAATGTTGAAAAAGTTAGGGGTAGATCCAATTGTGTCGTTCGTGATTATGCTGGGAAACTTTTCGAAGCGTTCTTATAATTTTTTTTTCGAAGAAAACTAGATTCATATCGACTTGGATGAGTCTGACTGGTCTGCGCTCTATTCTCTCTCACTTGCAGAAGTTACAGTCATAGTAGACTTCTTCAAGTTACTCCAAATGAAGTTTCAAGGAAAATGAAAATGTTTTTTTTTTCTAGTACGAGCCTTTTCCATGGAACTATTGAGTATCTGAAACACTGAGGCGAGAGATAAATGATCTGGAGAGGCGTCAGAGAAGTAGAGAAGGCTTTTTTTTCTAGTGTTTCTTCAAATAGTCATTGAACTCTCGCCTCTGTTTTTTGTGAATTTTGTTGTATCTTTAAAAAACCGCTTCATAGAGACTTCTAAACGGGGAAGAATTTAAAAAAAAAGGCAAGTATTTTTTTTTTATTGACATCATTCCGACCTAACCGTACCTCTTGAGCTCGATGAGCCCTGACCATCGGGTTGTTGCGGATCTCTGGCGGCATCAAGGCGCGGAACAACGCGACGGCCATCTGCAAGTTCAACTTGTAGCCGTCTCAGTTGAAACTGGAAACCTCTCTAGTGAGGGGATCCAAGGAGTCGATGTAGTTGGTGATGGCTTTGTGCATTTCTGAGTAGGTCTGGTTCTTGTTGTTGGAGATGGCCTTGATGTTGTCGAGAACTGCGCTCATCGCAATGATCGTCCTGAAACTCGTGAATTTGTTGTATAGTCTGAGTGCCACGACTTGAAATTTCACCAAACGACATTCCGCTGTGCCGCTGCGCGCATTTGCGAACCTTGGTTGCGCTTTTAATTTTTTTTTTTCTTTTACTAAGGTACTTTACTTTAATTTTCTCCCACAGCAATAACAATGAATTTAAAGCGTGACCAAGATTCGAAAGACGCTTCGCGAACGCACGCAGCGGCACAGCGGAGTGTCGTTCCGTGAAATTTCAAGTCGTGGCACACAGACTATAGTCCGTTCAACTCTTGCGATGTCAGTTCGAAAAGTTCTACTTTTTGACCCAAACTCACTTGCTGGCGTTGTTCTCCGCCGCGATCAAGGTGTCCTCCGCGTTCTTGTTGAACTTGTCAACGTCTTCCTAAATCCCGAAATTCGAGACTGCCAACAAAAAGCTTTTCTCACCGTCAAGTTGAACTTGGCAGCCCACTCTCCGATTTTGTCTTGGAAGTCCTGGATGGTCAGATTGGCGGCCTGAGGGGCCAAGGCGTAGAAGGCCACCTTTGCTTCAGTGGAGGCGTTCGCCAAGAATGGAACGAAAGAATCCACGCTGGACCTCGGACCCTTGTCCTGCCTTGAAATTATTGGTAGTTGGACACGATTGTTAATAACTCTTACCAGAAGGTGTTGTTTCCGAACCTGCTGAAAAAGTCAGAGACATTTTGAGGACCAAAGCCTTGGGTGAAGTTGTTCCACATGCCGGTTATGACAGTTCCATTCGGGAACGTTGCCATGAAGTCGGAGCCGTCCTTGCCTTTAGTGAAGTTGTTCCACAAGCCAGTGATAACCGTTCCGTTGGGGAACGGTCCGAAAAAGTCGGAGCCATTCTTGTTAGCGAAACCCTGGGTGAAGTTGTTCCACGCTCCTGATAAGTCAGTTCCATTCTTAGTGAACATTCCGAAGAAGTCGGATCCGTTCTTGTTAGCGAATCCTTGTGTGAAATTGTTCCACATTCCATTCAAATCGGATCCGTTTTTGGGGATGAAACTGTTCCAGAAGTTGCCCGAGTCGGATTTGTTGTTTCCAGGGCCGGAAATGTCGATGAAGACGGCAGGAAAGATGGAGGCGTTCTCCGAGGAAACTCCTTGGGTGAAGTTGTTCCAGAGGCCGTTCAGACTCGAGTTCTTGGCCGAATCGCTAGCTCCGTTGAACCAAGAAGATTGGTTCTTGGCATGGTTTAGGATGGTGCTGAAGAATTGCTGAAAATTGGATCAGTTCAGTTTATTTCCCTTTGAATTGAGACTTTCAGGACTCAGAGCAGAGTAATAAAAATAACTTTTGTGAATTGCTTCTCTTATCGTGAATATTGTAAAAAATCACTGACTTTGTTTTCGATTCATAGAGCTTTAAAAATTGCAAAATACCGAAATTATAACGAAATTGCATAATTTCAAGCTTTGGAAGTGTCTTAACAAGAAAACCAGACCTTTTGTGAAAATATTTTTTTCTTGTTCTGTAATCAAGATACGTTGAAGTACACATGAGCAAAGTAACATCAAATTTTCAACCGGAGCCTAAAAAAACGTTCCCTAGTGAATATTTGAGACAAACTTCTAATAAGTCATAAAAAAAGTATGCTTGGCTCAATATTACTAGAAAAAATACGGAATTTCGTGCGATTTTGAGTTGACCATTAATTTCGCAAGTTTCAAATTCATTAGGTAGTTGAAGAATCTCGAAATTTTCTTACAAAAAGCAAAATATAAGTAGTCAGTCTCCATGAATAAGACCCACCGCGGACGCGAAATGAAAAGTGACGAGGAAAAGTAGCAGGATTCGCATGTCCCGACGGTTCTGGGAAGCTCGAAAGAATCAACTGTAGGTGATTTTTCGTTTATATAGTTCGAAATGATACTTTAATGGGGTCCGATGTCGGCCCAACATGTCGAACTTGGGGTTTAAACCTCTCGCAAATCCGCTTTCCACCTCCAAATGAGCGGGAATACCAACGTGCCTAGGTGTTTCTTTCAATGAAACGAAAAATTGTTCGAGGTGCGAGGAAAAATGGACGAAAGTTTTCGAAAAGGAAAAAATGTGGAATACTCATAACAGTCTTCTAGCAAAATTTTGAATTGAGCTCTGATGAAATTGATATTTTCAATCACTCTACCCCACATTCCCGATTCTTTTCGGTTATATAAAAACGATTCTTATTTTTTTTTTAATTCCTTGCGGATTTTATCAACTGTTTGTTTCTATTGTACGCATTGCTTTTGATTGAAAATTACAGAGACAGCGTGTTAATAATGAAAAAAATTTTAAATCAATTTTTTAACCAGTTTTCCTGTAAAGATCTATAATATTGAACAAGAATCAGAGAAAAAAATAAAATAGCCTGCCAGAAACTTCTATTTATTTTACAATTTGCAATTTTGAAAGACAAAATCACACCGACGCAGAACTTTTTTCTCTGTCAAGAACGCTCTAAAGTAAGTTTCGACCTGGATATTTTTCCTTTATCTGACTTTTGATCATCCAAAAAGTCGTTTAATAATAAAATATATCTGCATCAACATGCTCGAAAATTGCAACTACCGGCTAAAAATATCCGAATTGAGAGCCATTTTGTTTTACGGCTGGTCCAAGATGGGAAGAGCAATTTGTGGTACATCTGCGCCAGGCAATCTTTTTCGCCTTACAACCGATTTTGTCACGTATTTCGAGAAATGGTGATGCGACTTCCTTGCAGAATCTAATCCGCTCATTTCTTTATATTTTCTTCAAAACTTCTAGGTTCAATGACCAAGAAGTCCATTCGAGTTGTTTTGGCGATAAACGGGCGGAAATATACCTACCCGCTCCAGAAGCGTTTTCCCTCGAGTGGTGGAAAATGGATAAGTAGTGTATTTTGCTCAGGTTTCTGTTTATTTCTACTTTTTCCCATTTTTCAGAAAAAAGATTCTGCATGGGCAAATTTGAAAAGGGTGGAAAAAGGCTTCTTAAAATGTTTCTTTTAGGGTTCCCTTTTACTGCCTTTTTGGGCCATTTCTTCGGCTCTTTTGCACCATTTTTGCAGCCTTTCCCTTTCTCCACCATTTTTTTAGCCTTTAAAATCTCAGAAAAATGCAAGGCTCAAAAAAGGAACTCTTTTTGCTGTCTTTTTTGAACCCCTCTTTTTTAGCGGGCATTATCTACCATTCCGACTTCCCCTGATGTAAAGAAAAATTTTGCTTCTCCTTTTTTTTTCAAATTTAGAACACGCCGATTCCAAACTTTATTTTATTTTATCTCCACTTTATGATCTTTTTCTCAAGTTCACCTCGATCTTTAGTTCCGAACCTCGACGGCAATTATATTTTAGAGCCTTCCCAGCCAAATTAACGACGTTTCGACAGCTGTCTACTCGTTTTTTTGATTGGCCCTCAATATTTTTCTTGCTCACTCTTTCAAATAAGCCCTGGAAAAGACGCCATCAACTTTCTTCCTTTTAATTTTCCTTATTTAAATGAGAACCACGTTCTGGAACTTCATATTCAGGTTTGCACAAAGTGAACGGCGTACTCTGATTTCCTCGAATTATTTTTGCCTTCTCATTCGGAAGTTGCTTCAGAATATTTTCATTTGAACTTTTTCGAATCCAGGGCGTCTAGAGAAACCTTTGAACACTGTTTTCCGAAAAAAAAAGGAAATTGAAAAACGTTCAAAATCCCTTTATTTTCCGTTTTTTGATAGCCTTAGGCATTGTCGATTCATACAATTCAAACCAAGTCTGTAACTGAGTGCAATTTGAACTCAATAAACTTAAACTTTCCAGAAAGGACTTCCAAAAGTTTCAATGGGAACGACTTTAATTCAAGTAAGATTTTTCCCGAGGTTGTATAAATTAAAAGTTCTTAATTTTCAAAAGCCATTCCTGACTCTTTTTAGTTGTCTCAATACAACTTTTTCGAATCCAGGGCGTCTAGAAGAAACCTTTGAACAACGCTTTTCGAAAAAAAAGACTTCGAAAAACGTTCAAAAATCTCTTCTTTCCCTTTTTATTGATAGCCTGCGCATTGCCGATTTATTGAACTCAAACTAGACTTCACGATTGAAAAAAAAGTTTTAAAAAGAGGATTTTAAACTATGAAAATTTAGAGTTTCTATCAATGACTTTTAAAGTTTCAGCTTGAGAACATTGAAAAAGATTATCGCTGAGAGTGTAGAATAATGTAAGGATTCTCATCATGAATTAGAAATTTGTTCCCCGAGAAAGTTCAAAAATCCTCGCTCTCGTCTTTTTTATATTGTTACTTATTTCCAAAACTTTCAAAGAAAAATATTGTTTTAAGTTTTTTTCAAAGAAATTTCGGTAGCAAAATTTTTACACTTTTTTCGAAGGGTTTTTCGAGATTTTCATTTTCTTAGCTTAAGGAATTTTTCATATAAAATAATAAAAAAAGTTATCACTATGAATTATTGTCTCCTTCCTCAAAATCGTAACTTCCCCCCTTTCTAATCTTGAATTTCAGGAAAACAGCTCGATGAAAGTTGTTTTTTCGGTTTTTCGAGGAGTAATTGCCAAAATTTGGAGAGTAAATGAGCAGCTGAGATTTCAGAAGGGAGGCTAGTTTGTTCGTTCCTCTGTCTAGCGAATCTTTGAACTGAAGTCTCAAAAATAAGGTTGATTTGTGGTCGTTATCATGTAGTCTTCAAACTCAATTTTGTGCATTTTTTGGTAGTTATATTTTTAAATTTTCGGATTTCGGAGTCCTTTGAAACTTTCTCATCGCTTTTTCATTTTCATCGTGATAATTCACAATAAGAAGATTGAAGTCAGATCTATATTTTGTTCAGTTTTGATTTTCAAGTGGAATGACGTCATTCAAAAACGCTCTGTGAACGGCTCGCTCTATGATTGGTCTATCGCGCCATTAGGGGCGGAGCTCAAGCGACGACTTGATATTCAAAACCTTCACAGATCATTATTCAACTATCTTCAAATCCTTCCTCTGCAAAATAGTATCGTAGAAACCGACTCGGAGTCAGCTGAGGACAGCCGTCTAATGAAACTTTTCGCTCCACCGGCTCAGTTTCGAGGCGTGAACGAAAAGAACCAAGATGGACGCAAATTCGATTGTTTTCAGACTTTTTTCCGTTGCACGTGAGGGCGGGCGATATATGATCGGTCCGGAAAATGACGATGGCCAAAAAACAGACCTGGGAATCTCTTGAAAACATTGTGAAGAACTCACGATTCATTGGTATTCCGCCAGAAGATGTGAGGACTCTTTTTATAGTCGCTGAAGCTTTCCGTACTAATTCCTACGCTGAACACCGATCAACGTATTCTTCGATATGTGTGTTCTTCTGAAACAAATTCATTCTTTTGTAATTTTCTCTAGCATTTTCGAGCGACTTTTTGTTTCTACTGACTCTATAGAAAGATTCAAAAATTCCTTAGAGCATAGACTATGCAATGATTGACTAACTCCCTCTCAAAATCAAAGGATCATCCCATCAGAGATGAGAAAGCTCATTCCAAGCTTTACAAGCTTTTTTTTTACTATACTCAAAAAAAAAACGCTTGTAAACCTTTAAAAAATGATTGATTGGCTGCATTTTTACTTCTTCCTTTAACTTAAAAGAACCAAAAAAAAGTTCCCCTCGTCAAAGCTCTAACCGACAAGGCATAAGTTGTTTGAACATAATTTCCGAGAAAAATGAAATTTCCTATCTTTTTTTGGTCTATCTCCTCTACCCGATCGACAACAGCGAAAATCTAAAATAGGAACACACATATTTGTTTCCGAAAAACGTCAGTTTCAGGCACACTTCGAAACAGCTGAACTTTTTTTTTCAAATTCAAAATCTTGCTTCATTTCTCTATAAACCTGTCAGAAAAGCAAACCTGTGTTCGATGTTTTCTGATTTTTTCTGAACCATGAACATCATAGAAAGCCGGCACAGTTCCGATTAAGTTGAAGAGAATGAATAATCAAAAAAAATAATTTCTCGCAAAATAAAAAAAATTTGAAGCTTCGCTCACTTGCGCTCCATGGACAGGTTCCCGCAGCGATAGAAATTTCTGAATTTTATTTCTATTTATTTTTAAATTTTTTTTAAGTTTTAAAACTTTCTAGTTATGATTTTTACAACGCCAATGAACGTACATTGTACAAGGCCTGTTCAAGGCGGCCGCTCGTGTTGCGGTTGTTTATAAAATTTCTTGATAATAGAATTTTTTGGAAAAAAGACTTGATTATTCTTGTTCTATGTTTTTTTTCCCCGGTTGTAAAATGTAGAAACTACTTCCTATTTACATCCGCCAAAACAGATTATCCGGGCAAAAAACCAGCTTTATTCAGTTATAATTGTCATATTTTTCATTCTCATTTTGTTGATTGATGTACTTTTCGTGATGAATCTCGCTTTGTTCTCGGTCATCTAGTGGCGCCTGCTGTTTTTTTCGTGACTTCCGCTATTTTTCATGTTTTTTTTGTGGTTTGAAAGCAAAGAAATCAAGGACCAAAAAAAGACAGGCGCGTCCCAGGACTTCACAGCTTGTCAGAGGAAATGGATAAATTTAGAACAGAAAATTTTTCTTTGTTTTTTTGTTTTTTTCTCAAAAATATGTAGTTTCTCTTCATTTTGATAGCGTGACCTTTTTCTGAGAAGTATATGTATACAACGCAGAAAACGAATTTTCTTCTCTCTCCAAAGAAAATAATTAAAAATGATTTTTTTCTTTCGAATAAATACAGCTCAAATTGCTCTGGCAATTATTTCGCAGTTTCTGGGAACCTTTTTTCTTTGCTGCCCCAGGTAATTATGCTTTTTGATTTTTTTTTTTTCCTTCATTT